CCACCTATGCAGCAGGGAAGGAGCGACCAAGCAGAAGGTCTGAGAGCAGCCACCAACCCAACAGCTCATAAGAGGAGGACTGAGTAGACCTGCACCCCCTGGGCCAGTATGAGTAAGCAGCACTCTGGTGGGAAACTGGATTAGCTGCTACTGTCTTACCCTTAAAATGAAAGGCACTGGATCCCCTGCCAAGGAATTCACCCAGAACAGCTGAATAGAACAGTATCTGTGGTCTGGGGTGATACAACAGGAGATGCTGGCTAGCTCTCCAGAATAGAAATTTTTGCTGTAAAGACTTGTATATAGTTCCAGGAAGTTTGTCCTCTGTTGCCATTCCCTTGGGCATCCCATACACTCCTTACCCCATGCAAGTTTAAATTCCCGTAAAAAAATCCAAAAACAAGCTCAAGAACTGGTTACTGTCACCTGGATGCAAGTCTGAATGGAAAATGCATGTTGCCTGGCTGTGCAGGACTATAGGGGGACCCATCACTTCAGCGACTTCTAAGGGGGTAGTGCTACAATAGGCTTCCCACGCAGGGATTCTCACCATCAATCAAACATAAACAGTATTCAGTCTTGTGGCTCTTTAAGCAGCTTTACAGCTCAGCTTAGCAGTGTTTGTCCTCCTGCACCAACCGCTGTACCTCAGCTCGGTGTCATTTTGCAGCTATCCAGTTGCTCATGAACTGTTTCCCATATTCACAGGCTCGTGCCTCAAACTGCCCTGGGCTAGACAGGTCAGGTCAGTGTGGATGCACCTCTCTCATTGCTCCCTTGCAGTCACTGACCCCCTCGGGAGGGTGCTGCCCTGAGCTCTGATTCTACCTCCAATATGAAGGAAACACACACCTGTCTCATTAATGTGCTTGTTTCCTCTGGCCTAAACTGCCTAATCATGCAATGGCATGGCCTTGCCCTGCTACAGTACCTTGTGCTCCCTGGAAAATACCTGGTACTTCTGGGTATGGGAGAATACATGACTTAGCCAACCTCCCCCACAATGCAGTGCCTGGTGTCTCTGTAACCAATTGCCAATTGTAACCAATAAACGTGGTGATATCCAAAATCGATATAAGACTGCGCACTCACCAGTCATATCGATTTTGGATATCACCACGTTTATTTATTTGTCAGTAGGGATCCTCATGATCCTCTCAGCACTCAGCCCACTGGGATATTGTGGACTGGGCACTCACGATTATCTCTGAATTAGTCACGACATAGTGACATATATTATGTGGACTTTAATGTTCTTTGCACTTTAATGTGTTTTGTACTATAATGTATTGTTCACAATAGTTTATGTAGAACGAGATACTGGTTTTAATACTACTATTTTATTCTATTCGTTCATCTTGGATTCCATAGCGCTGCACCTTTTGTTTACATATGAGTTTTGGAGGTTGATTTGGTACCTTTTGTGTTCAGCGGCTATAGTTACTTCTAGCGCTCACTTATCTGTTTTTTTTATGTTGTACTGTAGTAGCTCTAGTTGGTTTAGAAAAACCCTTTCCTTTGCCAAAGTTTTCTGCTGCTAATTCAACTTATGAACAACTCACTGGCACAAGATCAACAAAAATTGCCCCAGTCTGTTCCCAAAGACCCAGCTATTCTCTTATTGGGTTTTGCTATATTCTTGTATAGTGCAAAGAAGGAAAATCCAGGCTGTCAATTACATCTTGTACATCAAAGATGCCTCTGCCTTTCCTGTGACAGTCATGCTCAATGCTTTGTTAGGTAAAGGTGGCCATACATGGATCAAAATTTGGCTGGTTCAGCAGAGACTAGCCAAATTCCAATCCATGTATGGGTAGGCTGGTTGTACAGATATCAATCTACCAATCGACTTCTGAACAACCAGCCTGTTGGGTTTTTCCTGAACGATCAGTGCTGCTGGCTATAGCATGGCAACACTGATCTGTGTATTCTGAGGGCAGGGAAGTCTCCCCACTGTAAGAACACAATAGCAAAGCGGGGATGATTCGCCCATCCACAAAATATATGAATGGGGCAATCAAATCATTTTTTTTTGTTCAGCCCGCTTTTGAACAAAAATGTATGGCCAGCTTAAGTGGCTAGTGGTGTTAGTTAGAGATAGATACGAGACCTTCCTAATGACAAAATGTTAACACTTGCATATCAGTGTTTTGGCTAAGGTAAGTTTTAGGTGGTGTTCACACACTAGTGGTGCATTGTGGTATGTTATTGTGCATTGTGTTAGGTCACCCCATTTTTTTAAATATTTTGCCAATGCATCACAATGCAACTAATTTTTTTTGACACAGCATGTACTTTGTGATGTACAGCAAGAAAGGTGCATGGAATACTGCTGTATAGTGTGTGCTGGGCTGCCAATCAATGCACCGTACTTGGGAGGCACTATGCAACAGTTAGCTTAAATGTGAGGCTAGGTGTTAATGCTTAATTGTAATGATTAAGTGAGATTATAGCTATGGGGTGGTTAAGGGTAATGATTTTTTTCACTATTGATAGTGCCAAAAGCTCTGCATTAAACACTGACACCAAGCTGGTGCCGAGAACACCAGTGAATGCCAGATAAAACTGAAAATGCTGTTTGTAATTGGCATGTTCACTAAATAAATTTGGGACCAAATAATAATTCACAGGACCGTTATAGAATACCACTGTAAGAGTGTCATTATCATTGTCCAGTTCAGGGTTTCTCAACCTTTTTTCGGTCACGTCACCCTTTGAAAGTATGCAAATTCTGGAGGCACTCCAGTCTAAAATGTAAAAAAATGTAAAGGTTACTTATCAGTTGGAAACCTGATCCTGGGAACAATGCACACAACTTCCTTGGTGAAATTAACTTCACATAAGAAACCCCCTTCACATCAGTGGTCCCCCATGACATCCAGAGCCCCCCTATCCATTAGAGGCCCCCTATACATGACAGCCTCTCATTACATCAGAGTTGCCCCTATACATGAATCCCTACTTCACACTAGAGTCTTCCTGTCACAGAGCCCTCCGAACACAGAGTTCCCTATTTGCATCAGAGCCCTACTATTGGCTCCAGCAGTGCAGCAGTGGGTGAGAGGTGGAGGAGGTGGACATTTATCTTCTCCTGAATGCTGCGGGCACCCTGCATGCCATCTGCCCTTGATCACTGTCAAGCATTGCCATGGTGCAAGTAAATTGGCTGCCATGACAATAGCAATGAATGATATCTGCGTTCCAGCCCTAAAGCCAGCAACTCATGATGTTGATGCAGGGCAAACTGGGTCCTATACTTACAGCACCCCAGGGAAAACCAATTGGCACCCCAGTTGAGAAACATCTCCTTTAAAAATCTAAAGGAGATTATGACAATATTGGCCAAATTATTCCCCTTTTTTTTAATCATTTTTGAATTTTGAATCACATTTGTGCTATAAAAAATCCATCTCCATTAGTTTCTTGCACTTGAACTTTTAGTCCGGAAATAATTGTAGAAATTTCAACAACATAAAGCATCAGTATAATTATCGCTTCTCTATCACAAAGGAAATAATCAGCATTCAATAAAAATCAAAGGTATAACACCACTTATCCAAGAGTACTCAGAAAGTGTAATTGTCTATTGTTCCTGCTCTGCAATATGAAGAACATTATAATTGCAATTTACCACATTTTGGTTTCCTGATCCTTCTATGACTATAATTTACAATGCATGCTTAGTTATTATTTAGGATAACACTGACCAAATATTGGATATTTAAAGCCCAACTCCAGGCAAAACAGTTAAGGAAATTTCACCTCACTTCCTGTTCCTGTGACTTGGAGAGGGCGAGAGCAGCTGGCTCCAGCTATAAACCAAGCACTGAAAGGCTGAGCCAGCCTCCATTCAGGCAACTGGGTGGATCCCAACAATATGATTGGGATTCTTTCACAGCCTGGAGCGATTCCATGACGTAAGCCAACATGGGAAAAGCATGTCCAAAAAAGCTTTGGCCATACTTCTCTTCCAATGTTACTACATATAGGCAGCTGCTTTGTATTGTCACCTACTGTTTAATTGCAATGTATATTGCCTTCTTACAAAATGGTGGAGAATTTCCAACTCACAGATGCAGGAATGTGGAGGATACTTCTTGACCCCCTACAGTCTGGCTTCCACAGAAACTGCCCTAGTAAAACTAACTAATGATTTGCTAACTGCTAAAACTAATGGCCACTAATCCATACTCTTACTTATAGACCTCCCTACAGCCTTTGATACTGTTGACCACGCGCTCCTTCTCAATAAACTCTACTGCTTTGGTCTCTGAGATTTAGCTCTATCCTGGCTCTCCTTCTACCTGTCACAGTGCTCCTTCAGTGTTACCTATAATTCTGTCTCCTCTTTTCCCCTTCCTCTTTCTGTAGGGGTCCCAAAAGGCTCTGTTCTTGGACACCTTCTCTTCTCTATCTACACCTCCTCTCTTGGTCACCTGATAACCTCCCACAGCTTCAAATACCATCTCTATGCCGAAGACACCCAAATCTATTTCTCTACACCTCGCCTCACTCCTTCACTCTCTTCTCGCATTACTTACTAACTGACATATCAGCATGGATGTCGCACCACTTCCTTAACCACTAGCCTACAGGGCCCTTATACCCCCTTCCTGCCCAGGCCAATTTCCAACTTTCAGCGCTGTTGCACTTTCAATGACAATTGCGCGGTCATGCAACACTGTACCATATGAAATTTTTATCATTCTTTTGTGACAGATAGAGCTTTATTTTGGTGGTATTTAATCACCTCTCTGGGTTTTTTATTTTTTCTTAAAAAAAAACAAGAACTGAAAATTTTGAAAGAAAAACGTTTTTTCTTAGTTTTTGTTATAAAATTTTGTAAATAAGTGATTTTTCTCCTTCACTGATGTGCGCTAATGAGGCTGCACTGATGGGCACTGATAGGCTGCACTGATGAACACTGAAGGGCACTGATGAGGAGGCACTGGTAGTTGGCACTGATGGGCATTGACAGGCATCACTGAAAGGCAGCACTCATATATGGCACTGATAGGCGGCACTGATAGGTCACACTAACTAGCACTGATAGGCGGCACTGATAGGTGGCACTGACGGGCACTGATGCTCACTGTTAGGCGGCACTGACTGGCACTGATAGGTGGCACTGATTGGCATTGATAGGTGGCACTGACTGGCACTGATGGGTGACACTGAAAGGCAGCTCAGATGGGCACTGATATGTGGCATTGATGGGCACTGAAATGTGGCACTGATGGGCACTGGCAGGTGGCATGGATGAGCACTGAGAGCTGGCACTGATGGACACTGACAGGTGGCGCTGCTGGGGCTACACAGATCATCAGGGCACACTGATCATCAGTGCTCTGATGATCTGTGTACATGTCCCCTCCGAGGAATGCCGATTACCGGTTCTCCTCTCCTTATGAGCTGTCAGCATGACAGCTCGTGAGGAGAGAAATGCCGATAACCGGCATTTCCCTGTTTACATGTGATCAGCTGTGATTGGACACAGCTGATCATATGACCGAGCCGACATCTTCGGCTCTTTCCGTGGATCGGTGATCCACTGCTAGAGCCTCTCCCATCCTCTGGCACTCTCTCCCTCAATCTGTCCAGCTATCCCCTACTCTGGCTGCCTTTAGGTGGTCCCTGAAAACTCATCTCTTTAGGGAAGCCTATCATACCTCCAAATAGATATTTATCACTTCCACCAGCTCATCCCACACAATTGTAACCTTTTATACCACTTGCCACACCCTGTTAGATTGTAAACTCTTATGAGTAAGGCCCTCTTAATCCTCTTATTTTGATTGTATTGTAGCAGTACTGTCTACATTTATATTGAAAAGTGCAGCACAAACTGTTGGCGCTATATACAGTTGTGTTAAAAATAATAGCAGTGTGTTGAAAAAAGTGAATAAAGCTCAAAATCCTTCTAATAGCTTTTATTTCCATACACACAAATGCATTGGGAACACTACACATTCTATTCCAAATCAAAACATGAAGAAAAATATATCAAATTTGTGTTGTTCCTCTAAAAAAAATTTAGAAAAGTGAATATTAGACTGTTCAAAAAAATAGCAGTGTTTGTATTCTTCTTTACAAACTCAAACATTCACTATATAAACTGAAAAATGTTTAAAGATTTTGCTTTCCTTTGAATCACTTAATGAATATTTAGTAAAAGCACTGTTTCTGAGAACTGCTGTACATCTGTGGTGCATGGAGTCAACCAACTTCTGGCACCTGTGAACAGGTATTCCAGCCCAGGATGATTGGACTACATTCCACAGTTCTTGTCTATTTCTTGGTTTTGCCTCAGAAACTGCATTTTTTATGTCACCCCACAAGCTTTCTATGGGATAAAGATCCGGGGATTGGGCTGGCCACTCCATAAAGTCAATCTTGTTGGTCTGGAACCAAGAATTGCACGTTTAATGATGTGTTTGGGGTCGTTGTCTTGTTGGAACACCCATTTCAAGGGCATTTCCTCTTCAGCATAAGGCAGCATGACCTTTTCAAGTATTCTGATGTATTCAAACTGATCCATGATCCCTGGTATGCGATAAATAGGCCCAATACCGTAGTATGAGAAACATCCCCATATCATGATGCTTGCGCAACCATGCTTCACTGTCTTCACAGTGTACTGTGGCTTGAATTCAGTGTTTGGGGGTCGTCTGACAAACTGTCTCCGGCCACTAGACCCAAAAAGAACAATCTTACTTTCATCAGTCCACAAAATGTTCCGCCATTTCTCTTTAGGCCAGTCAATGTGCTCTTTGGCAAATTGTAACCTCTTCAGCACGTCTTTTTTTCAACAGGGGGACTTTGCGGGGGCTTCTTGCAGATAGCTTGGCTTCACATAGACGTCTTCTAATTGTAACAGTACTCACAGGTAACTTCTTTGATCTTCCTGGAGCTGATTGTTGGCTGAGTCCTTGCCATTTTGGCTATGCTTCTATCCATTCGAATGGTAGTTTTTCGCTTTCTTCCACGTCTTTCAGGTTTTGGTTGCCATTTTAAAGCATTTGCGATCATTTTAGCTGAGCAGCCTATTATTTTCTGCACTTCTTTATATGTTTTCCCCTCTCCAGTCAACTTTTTAATCAAGGTACGCTGTTGTTCTGAACAATGTCTGGAACGACCCATTTTCCTCAGAATTTCAGAGAGAAATGCACTGTAACCAGCATGTACTGTACAACATTTGCTGCCTTCCTTCCTTAAATAAGGGCAATAATTACCACCTGTTTTTCAAAGAATGAATAACCTCACTAATAGAACTCCACACTGCTATTATTTTGAACATGCCCCTTTCAATTAATGATTCAATTACACAGAATGAGCAGCATGCATGTCATGACTGTTGGGTCTGTTGGATTTCTATTGCTCTACTACACCTGCTAGTAAATTATTTGCCATGTAGAAATATCCTTTCTACCAAAAACAGTGATTGATCAGGTTAGTGATGTTTGACTGCTATTATTTTGAACACAACTGTAAGTCCTGTATAATAATAATACATACCTGTGTGTAGTCTCATCTCAGAAAATCTTTGGGGCATTGTAGGGGAGGTTGTGGTTTACCTGGGCACTTAGGGTCCATACACAGCACTGAAGTGCAGTACATGTTATGTGCATTGTGCAAACTTGATGCATGTAGCTACATAGTTACATAGTTAGTCTGCCTGAAAAAAGACAAAAGTCCATCCAATTCAACCATAAAAAAAAAAAAAGTTATAATCCTACACCCACAGTTGATCCAGAGGAAGGCAAAAAACACAGCAAAGCATGATTCATATTCTTCCTGCAGGGGAAAAAATTCCTTCCTGATCCCCTGAGAGGCAATCGGATATTCCCTGGATCAATTTCACCTAAATATGTTAGTAACCAGTTATATTCTGTGTATCCAAGAAAGAATCCAGGCCTTTTTTAAAGCAATCCACTGAGCTGGCCAGAACCAACTCTTGGTGGAGTCTATTATATATTTTCACAGCTCTTACTGTGAAGAAACCTTTCCATATTTGGAGAATACATTTATTTTGCTCCAAACATAAAGAGTGCCCCCTTGTCCTCTGTGATGACCTCATGGTGAATAGCTCTACACCGAGTTCACTATATGAACCACTGATGTATTTATACATGTTGATCATATCCCCCCTTAATCTCCTCTTCTCAAGAGAGAATAAATTCAGTTCCTCTAATCTTTCCTCATAGCTGAGCTCCTCCGTGCCTCTTATCAGTTTAGTTGCCCTTCTCTGTACTTTCTCCAGTTCCCCAGTGTTCTTTTTGTGAATTGGTGCCCAAAACTGAACTGCATATTCCAGATGAGGTGTTACTAATGATTTGTACAGGGGAAAAATGATATCTCTCTGGAGTCTATACCTTTTTTAATACGATAGAGGATTTTGCTCGCTTTAGAAACCGCAGCTTGACATTACATGCCATTATTAAGCTTGTGATCTACCAGAACCCCCGAATCCTTCTCCACCATTGATTCCCCTAGTTGTACCCCCCTAGTAGTCCCCAAGTGCATAACCTTACATTTATCAACATTAAACCTCATTTGCCACATAGTTGCCCAATTCAACAGTGCATTGAGATTGGCTTCTAAGTTGGAGACATCCTGTAAGAAAGTTATTCCACTGCACAGCTTGGTGTCATCTGCAAAGACTGAAATGGGATTTTTAATCCCAGACCCTATATCGTTTATAAATATAATAAAAAGTAAGGGTCCCAACACTGAACCTTGGGGTACACCACTGATAACCCTAGACCATTCAGAGTATGAATCATTAACCACTATTCTCGGAATACGATCTTTTAGCCAGTTTTCTATCCATTTACATACAGATTTTTCCAAGCCTGTAGACTTTACCTTACACATTAGCCGTGTGGGGAACTGTATCAAATGCTTTTGCAAAATCCAAGTATACCACGTCCACCATCACCCATCTGTCCAAGGTTTTGCTCACCCCTCATAAAAAGAAATCAGATTTGTTTGACAACTTCTGTCTTTCATGAATCTATGCTGTCTGTTGCTCAAAATATTTTTTTTCCAGCAAGAACTCATCTATGTGGTCTTTTATTAAACTCTCCAGTATCTTCCCAACTATAGAAGTTAAACTAACAGGACTATAATTACTTGGTAAAGATTTTGACCCCTTTTTAAATACATTGGCCTTAAGCCAATCCAGTGGTACTATACCAATCATTAAAGAGTCCCTAAAAATTAGAAACAATGGCTTTGAAATGACAGAGTTCAATTCTTTAAGGACCCTTGGGTGTATGCCATCTGGTCCAGGTGCTTTATCCACCGTAATTCTGTCTAAATATTTCTGGATCATATCAATTGTGAGCCAATGTGGATCATCTGTCAATATCATGCCCATTATGGACAAGAGCTCCCCCATGCTCCTTTGTATACACAGAGCTGAAGAAGATATTTAATAAATTTGCCTTCTCTTTGTCCCCAGTCACCCACTCTAGATTATTTTGTAAAGTGCCTACAAGCTCAGACCTGACTTTTTTACTATTAATATATTTTAAGAATTTTTGGGGGTTTGTCCTGCTATCTTTTGCAATCTGTTGTTCGTTTTCAATTTTTGCGACATTTATTTCCTTTTTGCATATTCTGTTATATTCTTTGTATTGTTTAAACGATGATAGTGTTCCTACATTTTTATATTTAATAAAAGCTCTTTTCTTATTATCTATAGATTCATGTCTGATTTTTGTTCCGCTATGGTGCACTGGCAACCCATTCATGCGATTGGGCTGCTTTAACTCAATACACATTAACGTGCATGTGTTGAAAGAAACACCCTGGTATGGATGGGCCCTGAAAGTGATAACCTGATAGAGGTTACAGCCTACCACAATATTACTGAAGGAAATGTGTTTTGTTGCAGTTCTGCTGGAGAAACTTTCCCTAATGTGGACAAAGGATACAACTAAAAATCCAACAGAGGAATGTACTCTAATCCTCTCTGACCAAAACAACTGTTTAGGCAGAAGACAGTCTTTAACGCACCCCTCCTCTTCTCCATCTACACCTCCTCCCTTGGCCAATTGGTAAACTCCCACGGCTTCAACCACCATCTCTATGCTGATGAAATGCAAATCTATCTCTCTACCCCTCACCTCACCCCCTTAGTCTCCAATCGCATCACCAGCCTACAAAGTGACATATCGGACTGGATGTCACTCCATTTCCTCAAACTCAACCTTTCCAAAACCAAGCTCCTAGTATTCCCCCCAACCCGTGCCCTCCCCTGACTTCTCCATCATGATCAACATCAGTCCCACCCCTCACGCCAAGGTACTAGGTCTAATCCTAGACTTCAATCTGTCCTTTCAGCCCCAGGTCCAATCGCTGACAAACTCATGTAGACTTCACCTCCGCAACATCTCCAAGATACGACCGTTCCTAACCACGGAAACCACTCATTCACTCCCTTATTATATCACGCCTCGACTACTGTAACTCCCTCCTCACTGGCCTACCTCATCGCAGGCTATCCCCACTCCAGTCCATCATGAATGCTGCTGCCAGACTCATTCACCTTACTAACCGCTCTGTATCTG